TGATTGGCCCTTCGCGAAACAGAAAAACCAAGCAGCCCCGCCCCCTCATTGGCTTCCTCAGGCATTGGCCCGCCTTGCTCTCTTGGCTCAGTCGCCGGGAGGTGCTTCACCACGATAATCGTAGCGCCTGATTGGCCGGGCCCCAGAATGACGCCCCCTTCGACGATTCCATCGCTATTCTGCTGTCCCCGAAAAGGAAGTCCCATTGGCCAGCCTTGGCGGAGCAACGCCCCGAGGCGGCTCTCATAGGCCTACACAGTTCCCGTAACTCCGTTCAGCCTTCGGGTTGGTCGACGGCCCCAGCCGCCCTGCCTAGTGTCTTATTGTGTTGCTTTCAGGGGTTGGCCCCGCCCACTGGCCACGCGTTTCTTCTACGGCCCCGCCCAAGCAGAAGGGAAGTCAACATCGGGCCTGCGGAGAGCATGCGCATTGCTCGCCTCCCGTTCCTGCAGCGCGGGCGGCCAGCAAAGCCGAGGCGCCTCTTGAAAGCGGCCGTCGGTTGCCTGGCCTGGAACTTGGTGCAATAAGGACCGACCACGGTGCAATCCGGAACTGCAGGACTTCAACTCCCATCTTAAAGCATGCTGGCTGGGGAATTCTGGGAGTTGAAGTCCACACATCTTAAACCTGCCAAGTTTGAAAAACACTGTCCTAAATTAGCCCAGAAGTGTTCCTCTGATCCCAGGGAAGCCTTCAGCATGAAATCACTACCCTGCTTGGTGTGAAAATGGGCCTGCTGGTATTTAGCAGAGGAGCACATGCAGCTGTGTGCAAGCAGCGAAGGAGAGGATGTATGGATGGGCCTCGGCCTGGCCGTGCTCCCCACTGCCCCCCTGAGTAAAAGGAGGGGGGCAAACCGAGATTAAGACCACCATCATGGGAATGCAATATGTAAAACCAAAAAACAATATATTGATATAAACTACATCATATTTACATTGCTATAAATAATATTAATATGACATTTATTATAAATATATCGTTCTATGGGTGCTAAAATAATTGCACAACTGGAACTCCCAGCTACATCGGTTCCCAGGTTTTCTCAAGGTGGTTTTACGTGCAAGCTCATCCCATTTTAAAGCGTGATTCTCACCAGGCTGCTTTATTTTTATGACATAACAGAAAGTAAGAAGAAAACTTGAGAGGTTTTAATGGAAGTAAAAGCACCCATACAAAATTACCTTCAGCAATTCTTCACATTCCAGTAGCCAAAACAACACCCTGAACTTCTTATGTAGGCTGTTGTCTGTTCATAACCTTTATATCTGTTGGCCTCTAGGTTTGTCTGAGATGAACTTGAGTGTGGGTGGAGTAAATCCCATTACCATTCTAGGTCAAAGGAAGCTGAGCATCTGATTTTAATCTGGATTATACCTCTGCTGAATTAATTACTGAAGCAAACCATACTATTCAATAACAGCACAAAAAGGAAGTCCCGTTTCTACCCAGAATTAAATCCTATTAAATCCCAAACACTTTCCTCCTGATTAGGCATGCTTGCAATTGCAGCACCAAGGATAGGCTTGGGTTATGCCTTTGAAGAAAAAAGTCAGTCCACATTCTCCTCTGTCAACAGCACCCACCACAGACACCTAAAAAGCAGATCCCTCACCATGGCATAAGCGTTGTGCAGCTTCTGTCTGGATTGTGATATCGTGGTTTTCATCCTCCCAAGTTAGAAACCTTTTATCTGTCACAGTCTTACTGCTGGATTTCCATCATTATTCTTAAATTCTACACCAAACTCACAGGGATGCAATTATGCAAATCAAATACCCCAAACAATACCAGTGAATCACTGGAAGAAATTAAGGATATGATGCAAGCAAACAAGGGAATTAATTGAGTTCTTAAGTCAACCACATGCTGGTCTGGGTGCCCTCTGCTGGACAGAGACAAAGAATACAGGCTCTGAAATACAGGCTCTGGCTGCAGAATGAGGGCACAAGAAAAAGTGTCCGGGTTAGATATCATTGTGCTAAGAGCCAGCTGTCTTCCAGGTACTGCTTAGAAAAGAATCCAACAATGTAAAACTTAATTTCTGTAGACATCAACATATTTTAGGAATCAAAGCATTACCCATCAACTTTTGCATCCTGTGTTTTAGGAAAAAGTCAATCTACTTCAAGTTTACTCAAGGAGACAATCAAGATGTTCCTTTTTTAATTTAACTGACAATATTTAAAAGCAGAAACGTACAAATGTGGAATAGCAACATCAGAGAAAGCATTTTGTGCAAAACACACATTCAAGAGAAAAAAAATTACCATCTCAGCCTAGGAAATGTAGCTTCAAGGAATTTTCCGCAAAAATGATTCCCTTTTTGGGTGAGAAGATGGAACCTCTTAGCCACACAGAAGGGACTAGAATGAAGGAGTTTTTTTTTATCTGTAACAACTGCAGAGAGATCAGGCAATAAAATCCAGGGGCCTATTGAATCCGCCTTTTCTGTTCATGTACTGCCTGCAACAAGAGAAACAAATGTAAGCAAAGTTTTC